CTCTCTCTCTCTCTCTCTCTCTCTCTCTCTCTCTCTCTCTCTCTCTCTCTCTCTCTCTCTCTCTCTCATAGTTCCAATGAGAATGAATCTTTCACGTTGTCGTGGAAGATTCATTCTCATTGGGCATGTCTGATTTCCTTCTTCTTTTTTTTTGCAGAATTTTGTTTGTTTTTTTGTGTCTTTTTCTTCTTCTCTTTTCCCCCCAAGATGTACTACCGGTACATTGAGGCTCGGCAATGATCGGGCTACCGGTCGCCCGAGCCGCGGACTTGATAGCTGGGCGAGGTACTGGTGGTTTAAACGGAGCATCAGTGCGGTGTGCATTCCACAGGCACGCCAGTTAAAAAAAAAAAGGGAAAATTGCATCTGTACCCCATTTAAAAATGGGAATACCCACTATACCCAGTGCAGCACCCAACTTGCATCTATACCCAACCCTGCCCAACTTAAGGTACTACCCTATGTTTCCCATGTGCCAGCTTATATGCATACCCAGTCCCACAGGTCCTTGGTTGGGGAGCACAAAATTATGCTTATGCCCAGGCACGGGGTAGGCAAAATTGGGTATGCAGTGCTATGCACACAATTTGCCCGGGCTTGAGCATAATTTGAGCATTCCGGTAGTTCGGTTTAGCTGCAAATTGGCAGTACCAACCTTGGCCCACCTCCGTCCTGGGCATGCAAATAATTTGCTCAGACCATTCCCCGGGTACAGATGCAAGTTGGGCACTGGGTCTGGGTATGGCAGGTATTCCCATTTTTAAACCACCAGTACCTTTCCCCACTTGAAAAACAAATGGCCGCCAGGTACCACGGGGGGGCGGCAGTCTCGGCACTACCGGCTCGAAATGGCTGGCGGTGCCAGCCAAATTCGAATCTGTGCTGGTTCGTTTGTTTCGGCACGCAGTTCGAATTTAGGCTCGGCACCGACAGCTGAGAAAGGTACTGGCAGTTTAAATAGGGTACGGATGTAATTTCCCCAAAAAAAAAGGAGTCGTTCATACCTTTGTCGGCCTTTTGGCCAAAAATCTGGGCTACCAGCCGCGCCGCCCGGGTCCCGGGTGGCCAGCCAGTGCAAGGACCAAGGAAGGCCCCAGCAAAAAAAAAAAAAAAAAAAAAAAAAAATTAAATCCAAAAACTCCAAAAAAAACACTATGTTATGCAGAAAAATAAACCGAACAACTTTTGCCTCAGGGTCCCATCGAAATTATTCACCAAATTTAAAATAAAAAATCATTTTTTTTAATTAAAAAATAAATATTTTATTATTTTTTGGCCCGGCCGGGCAAGTGACCCCGGGCCACTCTGGTAGCGTAGCTAAAAATAGTAAAAATAGATCAAGTGTAGTATCTGTGATTTTGTGCTGGTCAGTTTAATATCTGCTGTTCTGTGGTCCACAGGGCTACAGGAAAAAAAAAAAAAAAAAAAAAAAAAAAAAAGAAACGGTCCAGACAACCAAAGAAAGAGACGAGTGTTTACTATGTATCTTCTCCTTCTCTCCTTTTGTCTCTCTGCACGGATATCAGGTGGGCGAGGTCCGCCGGTTGATTCCATGTTCTGGTTTGAGATGATTGGTTTGCCGCCCTCGCTCCCGGTGCTACATGAGATTCCGGTCGGGCATATTCTGGACAACAGGGTGCTGCCACTTGGCGCTGTAGTCGAGATGGATCTTGATAAGGCTCAACTGAAGGTGGTGGAACAGGTGGAGTTGTCGTGACGCGGCCACTTTGCGCTGTGTTCAGTAGCGCTATCCGGTTGTTGTGGTCTGAGATGACATTCTCATAAAAAAAACTGCTGATCGTCAACGACGTCAAGAAACACAGGACGCAGTTTCTTCAGTTTGTGGTGTTGCGGAGATCCCAGGCCATCGTGCGTAGCCATGGCAACGTTTGGTCTCTTTTGGTGAGCGATGAACACAATCAGCAAGAGCTTGAGCCCGCCGAGAAGAAAGTGTTCCCTTTCGTGTCCTTTTCTATTTGGATTGTTTTTTTTTTTTTTTTTTTGTGGGTGTGTGTGTGTGCTCAATGAGCTGCTGAGGGAAACAGACAGTTCTGTTTGCATTGTTGACTTGGGGCTGGCAAATGCTTTCTCCCCATCCCAGTCGAAGCTGCTCTCTCTCTCTCTCTCTCTCTCTCTCTCTCTCTCTCTCTCGCGCGCGCGCGCGCGCGTGCTCGCTCGCTCGAGCGCTCGTTTGTCTGTAGATACTGCACCTATTGGGGTTTGAGGAACTGTGTTGCAGTCTGGCATTTATTATTGAGAGGCTTCTATATTAGGAGAGCACAAATGTTGTTGCTCACATAGCAGGTGATCGATCTGTGTGTGCAAGTTAGAAAAAAAAAAAAAAAAAAAAAAAGATCTGTGTGTGCAATAGGTGGATTGTCCAGTAAAATGTTGTTGTGCCAGGTGGCGTGATGTTATTGGGGCCAGCTGGCATGTGGTCCACATGGTCAATGCATCGAGTCAGGTTTGTGTTCGCGGTGCGTTGTGGAGTGGCAATGTGATTTTTTTTTTTTTTTAATCCCTTTTTTTTTTTTTTACTTTCCTTATAAACTTCAGTTCGAGGCCGGGGACCTCACAATTCAACCCGGGGTACTGACAGCATCAGCCAGCTTAGCTTACAGGCTTGCGCCTGCGGAAGAGTCCCTAACTACTACTTTCCAGAATCCTACTCCAATCTTCTTAACACTTCTTAGAATTCGAAACCTTGTGGTAAATAAAAGCACGACTCGATAAATAACACTACCGTACGCCTGTTAGGCCATACTACTGCAACACCTTTGCTATCTTCTGAGCTATTCCTAGTACCTACTTCTGGGACTAGCACGGCCCAGAGGATCAAATCCTGGTCCTACAGACACTCTCCTGACGGCCCACTGCGGCCCTATAAGCACCGAGTGTCCTGGTGCTTAGGACACCCTACAGGACTCTCCCAATAAGACTGGGACAGATCTTACGTAGCTGAGACTCTGCGGTACTCCGAAATTCCTACAGATGGTGATACCAGATGGTGATACCACAGATCATTCCTGGAGCTTGGTCTCCTCTCTGTCTGATAACCATGGGGAGAGGACCAGGCCTCTGTCACGATGCACTGCTGCAAGCTTGAAGTTCCTTGCCCAAGTGCGCATGAACCAACGGAGTTGACCGTGGTTTCCTTGGCCTGCTTTGGCTTTCCTTCTCCAGTCGACCCGAATCGCCTGCCTCAGTCCTCTTTTAATGTGGTTTTTTATTTCAAGGTCAGACAGGGGCCTCTTCTGGAATCTCGCCCTGTTTCTGTCTGCCCAGATCACTTCGCAGATCAGACCTCTCGTGGCCTGTGCCATATAACCCCAACCACGACTGGCTACCACTTCTGAAGGTAGAAAGCTCAGTAGGACCCATTTCTCATCCCATGTTACCCCTGCTCCTCCCAACTCCCTCCAGTGGTGTGACCACCAGTTCCATATCCTTTTGGACGCTGGACAGTCTCACCACAGATGGCGGGTGGATTCGAACGGCCACCTGCATCTCGAGCATATGAGATCCACCTCCATTCCTCTGCCTCTCAGCCAGACTGCAGAAGGGGTGCTCAGTAGTGACAGTAGCCAGAGAATACTTACCTGCTTACCATTAGGTAGATCAGTCAGGAACTTCCATAGCCTCTCAAAGTTTGCGGCCTCCCCCGACATGTCCTCGTGACATATCGCTTGCCATCGTTGAGTGGCGATCAGGGCCGGGGTCTTCATAACTTTGGCAGCGAGCTGGTAACCCCGCGCGGTGGAATACTCCAGCAGCCTCACTGGAGGGGATTCAGTGATTCCGGGTGACCAGCTCCAGGCCTGCGGGTCAATGGGCAGCTGTCTGAGTGGAGCCCGACCTACCCAAGACTGGGTGTGAACCTTTGAACTTTCACTGCGCCCTCCAATTACCCTCACCTGCGGCGGGTTGTCCCAGGTCCTGACAGTTGTCTCCTCCACCAGGGATAGGGAGTTCGAGTAATCCACACACCTCCACCTTTCCACCCTTCTGAAACCGCTGGGTAGGATCTCCAGTACTTTCCAAGTTATGTCATCATCCTCTGTTCCTGATTTGTACCAGGTTCCAGGCGTGTCCACCCCTTCTGGGCCGAGCAGTTCCAACCACCTCTGTGGTATGGCTGCTATGACCTGTTGCCGGTGTTGTTCAACGCGTTGCAGTCCTCTCAATGTGAGCTTCACCTCCCCTAGTGGTTTCCAGCTTCCCAACCCGGGGCACCAGATATCCTCTATTCTCACCACCCCTCTCTTCACCCAGGCCTGGCCAAATGAGCCTGCCGAACCGTCCGCAGCCAGCGGAACACCAGTCTGATCCAGGATTGCAGGGTTCTCGAACAGCAGTTGACAGAGGACCTCCTCCTTCGTGGTGGGGGTGTGCGGCATATCTGCGGGCGACTTGTTCCAGGCCTTCCGGACTGGCTCCCAAAATGCTGACTTCAGGCGTTTCTTTCTAAATGATGGCATGAAGAAACAAGCCCACACGTCTTGGGAGCGACTCAGACCCCATTCCCCGCCTAATATGCGTTCTGCTAGTGTGACTCAGTGCTCTCGGGAGTGCGCCATGGCCACCTTCACGATCCAGCATCTGAGTTGGGCCTGGTTTTTCGGGCTGGGTCTATTAGTCCCAGTCCACCTTTCTCCCGTGGGAAGGACAGGGTCTCCAACGCAACCTTGGAGATGAACCCCTCTCCGTTCTGCGCCTTTGGCTTCCAGAGGAAGCGGGAGATCAGCCTCCTTATGGCTTTCACAATACCCTCCGCCAGTTCCTTGACCGTTGTTACAAACAACAGAATGGAGAACAAGGCTGCGTTGATCACCAGCACGCGGCCCATGATAGATAGGTGCCAAGCGGACCCCCAGACCCGGAGTCTAGCTGCGATCCGCTGTTGCAAGAGGACTCCTTGTCCTGATGAATTGATCTGCAAACTGATAAGGACCCCCAAGAATCTCTCTTCCTCACCTTCAGCAATCCTCTTCATTCCCCAACCGACCTTTAGAACAAATTGGGATGGCATCAGGTAAGCTGATTTACTCCAGTTCACTGTGGCTTCCGAAAGAACTGAGTACTCACACATCACAGACTTGAGTGCACTGAGCGAAGTGACTGAGTTTTCGCAGCAATGTGATTTTAAAGAAAGTAGTATTTTGAAAAATGAATTCAAGTATCTTATACTTTAATTGGTTTTTCTATTTATCAAAGAAATGAAAATAATTGACATACTCCTTGAGCCATATGACAAAAACTTATCATGTATGGTTCTGATGAAGGAGAACCTATTTAGGGAACCTATCTTACTAAAGTTTATGATTGGTTTGAGGAACGTTTAGAGATTCAAGCTAATTGCAGATGACATAACAAGTATAAATATCATTAAAATATGTCCCTTCTCATGTAAATATAATATATATTCGACTGCTACTAGAGTGCCCCGGGACCACTTGCCTGGCTGGGCCAGTCAGACGAGTGCAGCTAGGAGGACCGATATGATCATATTTTTCGATGTCGGTTTTTATTTCAATTCGGTGAACGAATTTCAGAGAGACCTCCAGGCAAAAGCTGCTTGATTTGTTTGTCCTGCATATGTTTTTTTTTTTTTTTGTCGGGGACCTTGTCTGGAACTTGGCCTGGGGCTTTTCCCTGGACCTTGCCCTGCCGGCCAGTCGGGAATCCCAAGGTGGTCCTGGCGGTCTGGCTGGTAGCCTTGTTTATTATTAGGGGAAACTACTAACTAGGGCTCAGTCATGATTTCAGTTTTAAAATTTAAATCCAGTTTCAGGCATCCCTCGAGTACAACGCATCCCCTTCCGACCCTAAAGCTGGGTTGCATACAGCCACAGTTTCCCTCGGTTTGACACATCATTCGCGAAATTGTGACGGAAATGCATTTTCAAACTGAAACCATGACAGCACCCTAGTTTTCCCTTACTATTATTATGGGATTGCAAGTTGATGAAAAGAATAGCGTGTGGGAGACCTTTGTCTATCATGCTTGCCGGTGATAAGCGACCGGACTGAAGCCCGCCAGAATAGAAGGGCCCTTGTGTATGGGGGGTGGTGGTGGGGGGAGACACGCTGACAACCTGCGGGTCACAATGGCCGGCAGCATAAGTCGTCAAATTTTCTGCCGAGTAGTGCCAGATCGTTTTGACATTTACTAATCAAAGTAATCAAACAGGTTGTTTGTATGTCCCGAGATCCTAGTTGAAGGAGGTGGGGGGTGGGGAGTGGGGGGGAGGAGCGGCAAGTTTTTCTTTTTTAGTATTTTTACATATTTCATAATTTCAATCATTAAATTGATAAATTCTGTTCTTTTTTTTTAATGGATTTTTGTTTGTTCTACCGAATAGAGTCCTGCTGTACTCTCTCTTTTTTTTTTCTTTTTTTTTTAACCAAAGTTGTGTTTCAATATAAGCTGGGAAACCGGCCCAGCGTCCCTCACATGTAATGCCGTGGCCATAAGGGGCTGGACAAGGCACTTTCGGCCAAACCCATCCCCAGCCGCAGCTTCACACAGAACGGAAGGATTCAGGGAAAAAAAAAAAAAAAAAAAAAAAAAAGACAAACAAACAAACAAACAAAAGCAAGACCGTCATAGGTGTCTACCCTAGTTGCGAATTCAACAACAAAGTTACACACTCACCCATATCCTTTCTATAACCCTAATCTACTGTTGAATCGTGCACAAAGTAATCCTTAATTGCCTAAGGGTCGAGGGTACAACGGTATGCCCTAATTAAGTGGAGCACTAGGCTTTGTGAACCCAGGCGGAGCGCATCCAGAAACAACAGACCTGATGTGGCCGGCGGCCTCAGGCCCATCATACCAGGTGGTCCCCACTGCACATTCATATCCTCATTACAAGTTCTACCAGGTTGACAGCCCTGAGCATATACTAATTACTCTGACGACAGAGGGCGCCGGAGGTTCACTCGACAGCAGGGCACCGGAGGTTCACTCGACAGCGGCAACGGAATTAGCGCCTCGAATCCAAGGCGAAATCATTATCAATTTCTCTATACATATAAAGGAAAACGCGGGTCTCGCGTGACGGTCCCACGTGAGACCCGGTTCCCGGTTCCACGGGTGGAGTACCGGCGGTTTGTAGAACCGCGCGACGCTTGAGACCCGGTTCCCGGTTCCACGGGCGGAGTACCGGCGGTTTGTAGAACCGCGTGACGCTTGGCCGGTCAAAATTTTTTGTTTTTTCCGTCCGCATTCGCGACCTTTTTTTTTCGCGCCGCGCGGGGGGGGGGGTTGGTGGCGGCGCGACTTT